GCAGGGCCTGTGCTCACCGGCCCCCGGGGGCAGCGGGTTGGGGACCTCCGCCATGGGCCGCAGCAGGGACAGGCGAGGGCAGCCCCCGCGCCTGGCAGGGGCCACCCTGCTGGTCTGTCGCCGCTTCCCAGGAATGTCCTCTGTCCTGGGTGCCCCAGGGATTTCCCTGCCCCAGGCCAGGCCGGCTCCCCCGGCAGCGGGTCCCCTTGATGGTTGTGGGTCCAGGGAGGGACGCTGGGGCCCTGCCAGGTCCCCGGCCCCATGACGTGGCCATTGCCGTTCCCGTCCCAGCTGATGGCCTTGAGCCGATCTGCTGCCCAGAGAGCCCGGGCCTGCGGGGGGCTGGCGGTGGGACCACGGCCATCCCTGGCAGCGACGGCTGTGCCCGACGGTGTCCCGTGGGCCCACCTGCACGAGGGACAGCAGGCTGGAGAGGCAGAAGGGCCTGAGGGCCTTCCAGGACAAGGTGGGACAGGGCTGTCCCTGGAGAGGTCCAGCAAGCGAAGAGGAGGGCCTGGCCACACGAAGGACAAATGCAAATGCCCGGCAGCATCTTCTGCACAGCCGCCCTGCAGCCGAGCACCACGTCCCGGGTGGCAGAGCCCAGGCCACGGGGGCACGGGGGGGTGTAGGGGACGTCACTGCTGCCCGGTTTGGGGTCCCTTTGCAGGCGTGTGGAGCCCCACTGCCCAGCAAAGCTCCCTTCCCAGCCCTGGCCTGATCCTGCCAGCCGGCGCCCAGCCCAGCCCGAGGAAGCCTGGGGAAGCCACGGGCTGCGGCGAGAGCTGCGCTGATAAGGAGCGGCCTCCCGCGTTCCCCATTAGCCTCTCGCCTTTCCCTCGCTGACCTCGGATGGGAGCAGGGCAGGAAGCAGTGCCCGGCGGAGGCAGGGCAGCCTGCGGTGCAGCTGCAGCGTAACGCCGACCCATGGGCTCACATGGCGCCAAGAACCCCATTAGCGCCCGCACTGGCCCCCGCAGCTGCTGCCAGCGCCTCTCAGCCTCCAGCAGCCCATTTCAGAGACAGCTCCTCTCCGCTGGGATTTTACCCCAGCACCCTTTGCCTTTACTCACAGCCAAACCCTCGCTCCCGCGGGATCTCCCTGGGAAAGGGTTTTGCTGGATCCAGTAACCCCAAACTAAGCACATGGGGATCTCAGGGACTGGCACCGGGCTTAGGGTCTCTCCTCTGCAGGACCTGCCATCCCCACGTGCATCCTCCTGCGGCAGCCGCCTGCGATGGGGGGAGACGGCGAGTGAGGAGCCCCCGGCCTGCACATGAGCCCCTTCCCGTAAGTCCCTCTGGTTTGCTCTGGTGCGCGCGGGTTTCGGCTCGTTCCCAGCCGTGCTGGCACTAAACGTCCCCTCTTTAATATTTGATTCCCTCTAAGTGCTGTGCGGTCCCAGGCTGGCCGGCGCAGGGCGGCACCCGGCTGCTCAGTCCCCGAGCCTGCCCCGGCATCGCATCTGGTCCTGGGGCAGAGCCCCCGGTGTCCCCAGCTCTGCCGGCAGCGAGTGGCGGGTGAGGGTCTGGGTCGTGGCTTCGCCGGGGCAGGAGGGGAGAGGAGGACGGGGAGGGGACGTGAGTGACGGTGGGGTTTGGGGTGTGCAGGGCCGAGCTGCCGGGGCTGGCGCATCCTTGCCCAGCCATGGTGCCACCGTGGGGAGATCTCCCCTCTGGACACTGTGGGGAGAGGGGTCGGATCGTGCCGCAGCGAGCCGGTCGGCAGCCAAGAGCTTCCCATGGCCATGAGTCCCTGGGCGATGGGGGCAGCGGGGCGGCATCGCCCCACGGGCTCCTGATCCCCAGCCATGCCGGAGGGAGCGCCCCAGGGTGGGGGACACACATGCTTGAGGGCAGCACCCCGAGAGCGTGGGCAGGCATGTGGCAAGGGACAGCCCAGCAGGACCTCCGAGCCACGCCACCCACGTGGCATCACCGTTGGGCAGGGGAGGACTTTGCCACCTCTCAGAGAGGGGAATCGCAGGGGACACGGGAAGGGCTGGGGAAAGGCTGGTGGTTCCTCGGGGACTCGGAACCATCACACCAAGGCCTGACCGCGTGCCTCAAGAAGACCGTCACCTTTGGGGCCGCCGCTGCCATCCCTCGGGACTGGAGAAAACAAACAGCAGCAAGTTTTCATTGTTGTCTCATGGAAAAAGCCAGGGCCGTCCTTGCACTGCAGCAGTGAATCACCGCCACGCTCTGCCAGCCGCCTGCGCCGGGACGCGGCTGGGGACATGCCCCCGTTGCCACCCCCAGCCCCTTCCCTGCTCCCCGGCGGCCGCGGGGCTGATGGTGCAGCCGGCGACAGGGGCGAGGGCAGGGGTGCTGCTGTGCCGGATGGGTGCCGGCACGCTCAGCCCTGCAGCCTGCCTGGATGTGGCCCCAGAGGAGGATGTTGCAATGCCTGGCCCCATCCCAGCCCTGGGACAGGCTGTGGGATCGGCGCGTGCCTCGGGTGTGCGCGGCGGCTCCCAGCCCTGCCACCGCCCTTGCGCCGGGGGCCGCAGAGGGGGCGGTGAATGAGGGGTGCCAGGCTGTGGGACGCGGCGCAGGACTCGCCCGGGTCGTGGGGACGCAGAGCGGGGTCGGATGAGTGAGCAGCCGCTGGGTTTGGCGCCGATCGGGATTGGCTTGAGGTTTGACTTGGGGACGGGGATGGAGGGCAGGTGGTGGTGCCACCCTGCACGAGGGGGAGGCAGGGGTGCCGGGACTCCCACGGCCGGCGGGCACTGCAGCGGGGTCTTTGCAGAGGCGGCGGATCAGGCTACAGCTGGGAATCCCACGGGGGCCACCGGGCTGGGGACGGTGTCAGCCAGTGGTGTGGGGACAGGGCAGACGGGGTGGCAAGGACACCCACAGCCTGGAGAAATGGGTCCTGGGAGGAGAGGAGGAGTCTGGTCCCCATGGGGTCTGGTCCCTGGGGTGCCTGGTCCCCACTGTCGCCATGCCTCTGCCCCATCCCACATCACCCCATTTGCAGCCTGGACTAATTAGCGATGGAGGCAGCAGCCCTGGGGCTTCCCAGATGCTTCCCGGCCCCGGCTCACCGCCCAGCAAGCCAGCGTGACATCAACCGGGCTGCCCACGACCGCAGCCGTCCTCGTGCACCCTGCCATAGCCACCAGGCCAATGTCCCAGTGACAAACCCTCGATTCCAGCTGCGGTGGGGCCGGAGAGGGGGGAGAACGGGGCTGTCACACGTGCAAGCCAGCTGCGTGTCCCACGGCTGTGGGCTGGCCGTGGTGCCGGTGCCGGGGGGTGCAGCACATGGCTCCAAGCAGGGACGTCCCATCCTGTGCCTCAGTTTCCCCACCGCACTGCGGGAACAGGGCCTCTCCCCATTTAGCCAGGGGTGCAGAGGGGAAGGCGCAGGGGTGGGGGGAGGGAGTCAGGATCAGGCCCCCAGTGCAGCCGCCCTGTGCCTGCACGCCCCAGCCTTCAGAGCGGGTCCCCCCCGCCACGGCGGAGGGTGGATGTCCCTGGGGGTGTCTGGCCATGTCCCCCCCCGGGGCAGGAGGGAGCCGGTGCCATCAGAGCTGAGCTGCCAGCGCCGCGCTTCTCCCAACACCCACCCGCCGGATTACAGCCTCGTGGCAGCAGCCCCTGTGGCGCCCGGCGGGGGGGGGGTGACTCCGTCGCAC